AGTTGGGACTTAGCTGAGGACACAGCAGAGGTAGCCAATGGCTCACAGGCTAATTTCAACAACTCAAATAGGTATAAATTTAGCCTAATTCTTTTCCCTAGGAATGTCCAATTTCAGATTAAATTTTATACTGGAGTGTATTAGAGACATAGGCATTTTGCTGTTTCACTGGAATCTTTTAATCAGTTTTAATGCAGTCCTGGGTAAAATAAAAACGTAATCCTGTCTCTCTTTTAGGACATTTTAGTTTGCCATCCTCAAAGCAGAAAAGGCAGCAATGAGGCAGTGCTGCTTCTTAAAGACTCTGCTTTTCATTAATTTTTCTTCAGTAATCCTCTTCCAGTCCTTTTTTTATTACATTATTTGAATCATAAAATAAGTAAGAATTGTACTCAAATGAAATTTGAAAATTATTTTAATGAAGCTCTAGAAACATCTCAAACACCAGAAGATGTTTTTTTCCTTAGTTTATTTTTTAAATTCTAGAAAGTAGGTTAGTAGAAATATCCCTCTTTTAATTGTTTTAATTAGGAATGGAATATTATAGGAACAACTCAATTTGAAGTGTAGATTTAAATAAGAATTACACTGGATTAATATCACTTAAGGGTTTGAATTTAAATAAGATGCGTTTAGTCATAGCTTAGTATTTCTTCTTGAAAAGATTTTAATAGCAGAGAGGAGACCTAAGTATTAGAATAGATCAATATGTAGGAAAAAAATTTGCCATGAAATTGACAAGGAAATTGTTTTACAACCATATTTCTCAAATAGTATGTTTAAGAATATTATTCTATAGGACCTTAATAGATAAATCTTAGAGGTGGGGAAAGTATTCGGTGACCAAGTAAATATGAGAAATATTAAGTTAAACAGATTTAGGAAGTTGCCTGCAGTATTCCTCAGAGCCTTTAACACTTTGTTTTGGAGAAAGTATATATAGGGTCCCCTGTTTCTCCAACTTATTTATCCCTAGGTCACCTAGTAACACTTTTCAGGGGAGTGTTCTAATACAAAAATTTGACCTGTTTTAGGAATTTATACCTTTGAAAATATTGAGTACTTTTCAGAAGTCCTTATATGTTGCTTATTCCTCATTCTGTACCTCATGATGTTTTCCCAGTGTATGCTATGAAAGTATTATATTCAACTGTTTGCTCAGTACCTTCCTTCTCTTAACTAAAGTGCGGTCTTTATACATGACTATGTGTCAGAAATACCTGGGGGCTTTTTTTAAAAGATTAAGGTTCCTGAGTCCTGACCTGGGAGATTCTGAGTGAGTAGAAATGTCACTGCACTCAGGATTCTGTATTTCTTACAGACACTGAAGTGATTCTGATGCAGCCAAAATGGGTCTTCCAATTGGTGCTTTGGAACTGTTGAACTGCAAGTGTGTATCTCTCAGACCAGTGATTGGATTTGGCGTGTACTTAGTTTGTGGTCATATAACACATGGGCTAACCATCCCGTACTGGACATAAACTTCAGTGTTGACCTCCAGTGACCCCATAGGGTGACGTGCTGGCTACAATCTTAATGTGAAACAATTGCTATTATCCTTTAAGAAAAACAGAATACTTGTAAGGGGGCTTTCGGTCACCTTCCTAATAAGGAAATACTGTATGTAAGATTACCATTTGTTTTTATTTAATTTAAGTAGCTTCATTGTTGGTGGCATTTTATTCATACTTTAAAAAGAAATGCTAGTTTGTATTTACTCATAGTGCCATATAAGATTATATTCTCTCCCATCTTCCTGCTCATAACAGATGGACATTTAACCTTAAGCAAATAGACCAGATTATATCTCATTTATGCGTTGATTTATGTGAGCACTGACAGTAGCTTTTCTGTTAGAACTGTGTGGTTATGTACTCGGAAAACTATAGAATACTTACGCCTAAGGAAATTGAAGAGGACACAAAGAAATGGAAGAGCATTCCATGCTCATGGATTAGAAGGACAAACATTGTTAAAATGTCTATACTACCCAAAGCAATCTACACAGTTTATGCAATCCTGAAAAAAACAAAACAAAACTGGAAGCATCACAAACCCGGATTTCAAGCTATATTACAAAGCTGTAGTCATCAAGACAGTATGGTACTGGTACAAAAACAGACACATAGATACAGTGGAGCAGAATAGAAAAGCCAGAAATGGACCCACAACTATATGATCAACTAATCTTCGACAAAGCAGGAAAGAATATCCAATGGAAAAAAGACGGTCTCTTTAATGAATAGTGTTGGGAAAACTAGACGGCGACATGCAGAAGAATGAAACTGGACCACTTTCTTACACCATACACAAAAATAAATTCAAAATGGATGAACGATCTAAATTTGAGACAGGAAACCATCAAAATCCCAGAGGAGAACACAGGCAGCAACCTCTTTGACCTTGGCCAGAGCAGTTTATTACTAGACACATTGCTGGAGGCAAGGGAAAAAAAAGTAAACATGAACTATTGGGACTTCATCAAAATAAAAACCTTCTGCATAGTGAAAGAGACAATCAACAAAATTAAAAGGCAGCTTATGGAATGGGAGAAGATATTTGCAAATGACATATCTGATAAAAGGTTAGTATCTAAAATCTATAAAGAGCTTACCAAACTCAACACCCAAAAAACAAATATCCCAGTTAAGAAATGTGCAGAAGACATGAATAGACACTTTTCCAAAGAAGACATCCAGATGTCTAACAGACACATGCAAACATGTTCAACATCACTCATCATCAGGGAAATACAAATCAAAACCCCAATGAGATACCACCTCACACCTGTCAGAATGACTAAAATTAACAACACAAGAAACAGCAGATGTTGGTGAGGATGCAGAGAAAGGAGAGCCCTCTTTCATTTTTGGTGTGAATGCAAACTGGTGCAGCCATTCGGAAGAACAGTATGGAGGTTCCTCAAAAAACTAAAAATAGGATTACCCTACGATCCAGCATTTACACTATTAGGTATTTACCCAAAGGATACAAAAATACAGATTCAAAGGGGTACATGTACCCCAAGGTTTTCAGCAGCATTATCAACAATAGCGAAACTACAGACAAAGCCCAAATGTCCATCAGCTGATGAATGGATAAAGAAGATGGTGTGTGTGTGGGGGGGGGGGGGGGGGGGGGGGGGGTATTACACACATTGGCAATGACGTGGATGGAGCTAGAATGTATTATGTTAAGCAAAATAAGTCAATCAGAGGAAGACAAATACCATATGATTTCACTCATGTGGAACTTAAAAGACAAAACAGATGAACATATGGGAAGGGGGGTAGGGAAGAAGAGAGAGGGAAACAAACCCCAAGAGATTCTTAATGATAGAGGGTTGATGGTGGGAGGTGGGTGAGAGATGGGCTAGATGGATGATGGGTATTAAGGAGGGCACTTGTGATGAGCACTGGGTGTTGAATATAAGTGATGATAAAAAAAGAAAGAAAAATGTGTGGTTATACTCTCTGGCAAAATAATTTTGTATTCTTAGAAATTCTTTTCTGCATCATACAAATATAGCTGGAAAGAGACAATATAAATAATTACTATTGGGGAAAAATATTTACTGTTTGAGAAGCAACTAGTCTTTTTTGTTCTTTTTTTTTTTTTTTCAACGTTTATTTATTTTTGGGACAGAGAAAGACAGAGCATGAACGGGGGAGGGGCAGAGAGAGAGGGAGACACAGAATCGGAAACAGGCTCCAGGCTCCGAGCCATCAGCCCAGAACCGGACGCGGGGCTCGAACTCACGGACCGCAAGATCGTGACCTGGCTGAAGTCGGACGCTTAACCGACTACGCCACCCAGGCGCCCCAGAAGCAACTAGTCTTAATCTTGGCTGAACAGTGTCATATTAGCAATAATATATGAAAAAGTAGACACACCCATTAAAAGTAGAATATATCCCCTGCCGTTTTAAAATTATTCTGCAAAGTCTTGCCAATGCAATAAGACATGAAACAAAGGGTGTGAGTGTTGAAGATTAGAGATAAAATCTTCATTACTTGCAAAAAAAATTGCATAGATTGAAAACCTGAGAGAAATTTTAAAATGTGTTTAATAAACTGAATAGATATGAGAGGGTATCTACAAAATCCACAGTTCCTTTTGTATACAAACATGGTTTGATAGATACAGTTTTGTTATTTCTAGGTATTAATTGGTTGGTGAAAAGAAACAGAAAAATTGTTTGCATTGTCAGGTTAAAGAATCGGGAGGGAGAGCAGCACCATAAAACCTCAGGGAGAAAAAAAGTTGTCAGGAGGGCTTAACCTTGGTAAGAGAGAGATCGGTTGAAGTGAATCCCAGATTCTGCTGATGGTCTGGAGGTCACTGGCTTCCTTTGGCAGAGCCATGGTGGTGAAGTGAAGGAAGTGAAAGCCAGACCACAGCAGTTAAAGAAGGAATGTGATGTAAGAGCCAAGGCATTTATTTGAGTTTGCGATGGGAAAAAAGATTGAGAATTTTGTTGTTGTTGCTGGTTTGTCATTCTGTTTGTTTATGGAACCCTTTGTTATCTCCCATGCGAGACTGGAAACTTCTCAAAGGCAGGCTCTCTCTGCTTCTGTGAGCCCTGGAGTGCACAGCACAGCCTCGAATGTATGAGGCGCTCATTGGCTCTATGTTTAATTCATGACGATGAATGAAAGTTTTGAAAGAGTTGATAGTGGGCAAAATACAGAATGAATTTCAGTGAGTTCTCATTTATTAAAGCAGGCAGCCCTTGCGTTGAGACGTGCTGTCTTTGTGCCAACAGAAACAGTTGTACTGCTGCTCATGTCCCTGTCTCTCTCCTCACCAATCTCACTGCCTTCATTTATGGCTGGCTTTTGGGCTTTTTTACAGCTATGAAACCTACGTAGTGGAACATCACGCTGCTTCTCCCGTAGGGCGTGTGATGAGGAACGGAGTTTGGCTTTGGAGTGCTCGGAACCAGAGGAATTGCCGAGGACTCGGAGCCCAGCCCTGACCACTGGAGAGCCCACAACACGATGAACAAATTGAATTTCCACAACAACAGAGTCATGCAAGACCGCCGGAGTGTGTGTATCTTCCTTCCCAACGATGAATCTCTGAACATCATCATAAATGTAAGTAGATTCGACTTTAGAAATGTTTGAACGTCCTGTTCCCACCAGTGGCCACATTCAAGTTATTACCTGGTGAAGGGTGAGAGCGCTACAGAATGAGACCATTAATAATGTGACAGAATTGGGGGGTTAAAGTTGTCTACAAACTTTGAATTATGGCTTTAGAGCAACTGCCCTCAATATTCTTTCACCTGGGGGGGGGGGGATTACAGAATTTTGGTTACTATATTATAGAAAAACAAACACCTTGCTATTTTAAAACTGTGTCTTGAAATATAAATTTTTATTAATCTATAATATGATTTTGCTTTTTAAATGTTTTTGAGTTGTCACACACATGATATGGTAATAATTGCTAGCTTCTTAATATGCATCTTGATCATTAATCGTAGCCTAAATCTAGCCAATTTTAAGGACAGGCTGTGCACTTGAGCACTAAGCTGTTGCTATGGTTCATGAGTCAAGGGTAACTCTCTTAGTTGACCTGGATATTGAGGAATATGGTACTGTTTTTCTTAACTTCTAAAACTGAGTTATAATCTACATACAGCAAAGTATAGGAATCATAAGCATGCAGCTCAGAGAATTTTTACAAGTGTATACACCCCTATAACCAAAATCCAGCTTGAGATACGGTACATTTCCAGCACCCCAGAAAGATCTTTTATGACTTCTCCTTGTCAGTCATCTCTACCCAAAGGGTAATAAGTATTCCCTCCCCTATAGAGTAATTTGCTTATTTCTGAACTTCATGCAGCTGGAATTACATGGTATGTTTTCTTTTATATGTAGCTTCTTTCAGTCAACTTGGCCTATGAAATTCACTTATATTATTGCACATAACACTAATTCTTATTCTTGTGTAATATTCCATTGTATGAATATGCCCAATTTGTTTATCCACTTATTGTTGATGGATATTGGGTTGTTGTAAGTATTGGGCTATTACTATGAGTAAAAGTGTTAAGAGCATTTTATGTATATGCACATGTGTATACATTTCTGAGCCTCACCTAAGAGCAGAACTGTGAATCATAAAGGATACCTGTGTTTAGCTTTGGTAGACACTGCCAAACAGTTTTATGGTAATCAGAACCATGCCTAGCACTTTTCAGCTCCTCTCCCTGTTAGCGACTTTCATATTCTTCCTTTTACTGATTGTATTCAGATGGAATTAGGAAAAATATTGCCTCAGTGCAATGCCTTAAATTAGTTTTCTTTTTTTCCTTTTTCTTTTTCTTCTTTGATCTTTATTTTTGATAGAGACAGAGACAGAGTATGAGCAGGGGAGAGGCAGAGAGAGAGGGAGACACAGACTCTGAAGCAGGCTCCAGGCTCCAAGCTATCAGCACAGAGTCCAGTGTGGGGCTCAAACTCACGAACTGCGAGATCATGACCTGAGCCAAAGTCAGATGGTTAACCTACTGAGCCACCAAGGCACCCCTTAGTTTTCTTTGTTAACCCAATTGCTATATAAAAGAAAATTTCTAAGTGTTATACTGAATATATATGGCATTTAAATAGCTTCATTACAAAATTTACACAGGAAATGGCTCTGCTTATCACCGTAATTATTTTGGTTTTATTCTGACAACCACCACAGTTTCTGGGTTTTAGTTTCTTGATTTACTAATATAACCTCGTTTTTGCTTATAGGAATTGTCTGAGCATCAAACCTACCTCTTGGATGAATTTTATCATCTGTGGGGCAGAATTTCTGTTCATCAGCAACATTGCTATTCAGGGTACCCAAAGTTGTTTTTGAATATGTGAAGTGATAGGCTATCATTTTTACAACATTTGGGTTTTTTTTTTTTTTAATCTAATAAAACTTGGCAGCTTATCTTTTTCAGTGTGGTCATGGTCAAAATATATAAAATGTAATTTTGCTTATACAGGTGAATATGCTATTTCAGTTTTTATATACAGTTATATAAAGAGATACTAAATTTTTTTAAAATTCAAAATCCAGGGCATATAGCCTAAGCTATAAGAAGTTAAGAAACTTCTCTCAGTTCCATTTGTATGTTCCCACCCAGAGGGTTGTATATCCTTGTGTTCATGTGTGCATCTATGCGCACATACAGGATATGGAACAAAACCTTACTGACCTCAGGTGAGTGGAAGGAAGACTAATCTGGCTTCATGAAGAATACCGAGAGCCGGCTAGAATTTTCAAAGAGAGTAACTTGTCCTAAAATCTCAGCTAAGGAAGATAATTATGAATAACAACCATGCTACAATCATACTATGTAATTGTGTATATTGTTAGTGCATAGCATCATTCCCAACACTTACATAGTAGCTGCTATTATTACTTTAATTCCTCATCAGAGATTCATGTTACATCTCTTCACTTTCCTTATTTTGTAACATTAGTGTAATATCCCTACAGGATGGGCAGGACTGTGATCATGAATTGTACAGCCACACATCATCATCATTAAGGAGGGTTTTAGAGTCGGGGTGCCTGGGTGGCTCAGTCGGTTGAGCATCTGACTTCGGCTCAGGTCATGATCTTGCGGTTGGTGAGTTCGAGCCCCGCGTCAGGCTCTGTGCTGGCAGCTCAGAGCCTGGAGTTTGCTTCAGATTCTATGTCTCCCTCGCTCTCTGCCCCTCCCTGGCTCATGCTCTGTCTCTCTCTCTCTCTCTCTGTCAAAAATAAACAAACATTTAAAAAAAAAAGAAAAAAGGAGGGTTTTAGAGTCACAGGGACTGAAGTTGAAATCTCTACTCCTTGACATACTCTGCAGCCTTGGGCAAGTTGGTTTTTTTGCTCCAGTTTCCTCATCTGTAAAGTAGAGATGATCTTACTGTCCTCATCAGGGTCGTTGTAAGGATTTAAAGATGTAACATGAATAAACTGTTAATTGTAGTGTGTGGCAGCTGAGCATTGCTCAGTACGTGAGCACTTAACAGAGTAGCGCTTGTTTTAATTTCTTTGAGCTATGTTTGTGCATTTCATTTGGGAGCTCTGTTAATGGAACTCAAATAGAGAATCCGAACCCCCTGTGGGCCTGTTGAGATCTTCTTATTCCAGGGCATGTAGACCCCGCTGCCATGTCCAGACCCTTCTCTAGCAAGTGATTGAACAAAGGAGGGAGGAGGGACTCAGTTAAGTAGCATGGAGGCCCCTCATTGCTGGAAAACCAGTGCAGGACTGCCAGAGCTCTGTCTTTTCCTTCCAAGTGTTATCTCTGCATTCATAAAATAGTAAATGTTATTTGTATGGCTGTAACATAGCAAATTAACTGTAACAAAACCAGTTTTATCAATGGTTTCATATTTTTCATCATTTCTAAATATTTTTTACACAAAGATGGTTTATTCCTTGACGTGTAGTTGATAGAATGTTGTCTTTCTACATGTGAGGTATATTTAGTATCTGATCATTCTCGTTTCTCCATGAGGTTGAACTAGTAGGGGCTGTTTTAAATGATTTTAATCATCAGATAAATACTAAATATGGCAACTTGGAAAATTTTGGAAATAAAATTATGGTAAATGTAAGAGCCACAAAATTTTTGAGTGATATAAATAGTGGCCAAGAGTTTTATACTTGTTCACTAAAACTAAGGTAAACAATTCTTTTTTTTCTGGAATATATTTAAAAAAATTTTTTTAACATTTATTTATTGTTGAGAGAAAGAGAGACAGAGCATAAGCATGAGGGGCAGAGAGAGAGGAGGAGACACAGAATCGGAAACAGGCTCCAGGCTCTGAGCTGTCCACACAGAGCCCGATGCGGGACTCAAACCCACAAACCACGGGATCATGACCTGAGCTGAAGTTGGATGCTTAACCAATTGAGCCACCCGGACGCCCCTGGAATATATTTTAAATGTGCTTGCTCAATAACCATTGACATTTAGGACCAAATGCTTTTTTTTTTTTTTATTAAAAAGGTCCATATAGAGGATATTTTTAGATAATATTTTAATTCTTATTCTTAATACTTCATATACCCTATAGCACTTTTTAAAGCTCCATTGCTCCTGAAGGTTAAAGAACTTGAAAAATTTCACAATCAGCTAAAATGTAGCCTTCAAGACTCATAATATGCAAATACAAAAAACTCAAGCCTTTTTTCACAGAAGGTAAGACTTCAGAGCCACAATTTTAAACAAGAACACTACTTACTCCATAGTTGTTACAGAGCTTTATCAGTAGGCCCCAAATACTTGATTTAAATTAGCAGAAAAATAATAAGTATATGGGATATATGGGAGAAATGTACAGCATTATTTGAACAACAGTTACAGTTATAACATGGTTTGTTTTATGTATAGTTTGTGGTTTGGAAGTTTTCTGCTAACTTTTTTATCACATTTCATCCCAGTTGCTTTGTTTATAACATTTTAAAATACAGTAAAAACTAAGGATTAAAGGTATCCTAGATGGTATGGCATCTTAAGTCTCAAATTTGCAGTGTGTATTTCAACTTTATATAACGTTTGATAGTTTTCCCCTTACTTTATCATGTTGGTTAAGCTTATTTGTAAAGTAGAATTAGGACAATATAGAACTCAAAAATACACAGTTTTTTTTAATGAACAAAGAAGATGATTTCCTATTGACAAATATAGTCTCCCAGTGGTGTTTGTGAGTTTGCAATTCTTCATTTTCCCTAAATTCTTCAGTGGCACATTCATAAAGTGATGTGCTCAGTGGGCCAGAGACTAGCCCATAGTCCTGGAACAGAACAAAAGCAAGAGGCCCAGATGGGCATCAGACACCTGCTTTTATCCATCAGACATTTACTGAGTGCCAACTATATATCCTAAAAATAAGATAAGACACGATCCCAGCTTCATTGAGTTCCTGGTGCTTCTAAGCAGCGGAATTGGTGCTCTTGGTCTTAAATAAATACCTTTTGCTCTTTCCATTAGATAAGGTGCTTCAGATTAGTTGCCATTTAATAATGTGGAAAGAACAGCAAACCTTCACTTGGAATTATCACCATTCTGCATTGTTTGGCTTTCAGTTATCAAGGGGTTTCAGGGGTCTCTTATTTTCTGAATCTGAGTCACATATTAAGGTATGATAAAAAGTCATGAATTCAGAGTTAATTTAGAATTTATCATTAAAACTGTAAGTGGCATCAGTATCATTGCAAGTATAGTACAAGTGAGGGACAAATGCCCACATAATATATATAGCTGAAATGATAAACTGTCATGTTGTATATATTTTAAAATACACATTTGGAAATATTTTAATACTTAAATGAGCAAAGTTGTGAGTTGCTGCTTTGCCATTACTAGCTTATATGACTTTAAGCTTTGTGGGTTGTTCTTTCTTTCTTTCTTTCTTTCTTTCTTTCTTTCTTTCTTTCTCTTTCTTTCTTTCAGAGAGAGGGTAGGGGCAGAGAGAGAGAATACTAAGCAGGCTGTGCACTGTCAGCACAGAGCCTGTTGCGGGGCTTGAACTCATGAACCATAAGATCATGACCTGAGCTGAAATCACCAGTTGGACGTTTAACCTACTGAAGAACATGACCATAACATGAAGAAATTGACCATAACATGAAGAAATCATCCATAACATGAAGAAATTGACCTGTATGGTCTCTTAAAGTCAGCTCTAAGCTTTAGTGATTCTGAATTCAATGAGACAAACCCAACAGAATTACTGTCCCCCAAAATACTTTATTAAATATTGGAGAAATCATTAAAACTGTGTCTGTTAAAGACTATGTTATTATTCAACATGTGACTTTTCAGGATAGCCTATTCAGAGTTCCAAATTAATATGATTTTTTATGGTTGAATTATACTAGGACTTAGAAAGGACCCTTGTTTAGGTACTTAAAAGGTATAAAACAATAAAAGTAAGATAAATAAAAGCTAGTTATTCACTCATTCACTCATTGTAATAATATCTAAGTATTTTGCTTAGACCATCAAGAAGAAAACCTTCCTTGTAAAGATACCTGCCTAATTCATGATTCTGATAATCTGAGTAGGCTGTTTTGGGTACCTTCTGAAATATTTACCATGCGCCATGGGTTTAGAATTAAGGCCTCGTCAGTGTGTCATAAGATTTATGAGTCTTGTACAAGATTGCATTGGTACTTTATTGCCATGTTGTAAAAATTCGTATTGTGATAATCAGTATTGAAACACAACGCAGATTAAAGCAATTTCCATGAACCAACAGCGGTTTTGCTAGTGTTGGCTTGTCCTTTCAAGGCATACATTCAGGGTGTATTAAATTGCCTGATTGTGGTTCAGTATTTGGGTTTGAGTGACTTGTTGTCTCAAGTTGTGTTTTTTGTGTGCTTGTTTGTTTTTCTCTACAGGTTAAAATTCTGTGTCACCAGTTGCTGGTCCAGGTGTGTGACCTACTCAGGCTAAAGGACTGTCACCTGTTTGGACTCAGTGTTATACAAAGTAGGTCTTAGTCCCATCTCTGATATATTTAGCCAACTGTCACTGAGGAAGTGATATTTTATAGCTGGCTGTGACTTGATTTGGGCGTATTGTGATAAGATTGTGATTGGCAAAATACCCATAAATTCATCATCATTTTTAGTCTACTATTCGTGTTTTGATCTTAACTGTTGTGTATTTCTTACAAGACTTAGAATTTTAGGCCGTGTATCATAGTTTGAACTTAAAAATCGGTTCCTTTTCAGGAGTCTAAATTTTGTATTTGTTCTTTTCTGTTTTTATGAACCATGCTTGATTTTTGTTTCCTTGCACTCAGGGAACAGCTGGAGCTAGTAGGAAATTATCTTGCATGTTTTTGTAATGTGTTTCATAATTTTTGACATTAAAAAACTTAGGCATAAGAAAAATGGCTTTCGTCTATTCAAGTTTTCTTGCTGTTGACCATATAGTATAACAAAGTGATCTATTAATTTGCTCTTGTTTCCTGTTTTTCCCTCTTAACACCTTCTCCTTTTCTTCCAATCAGACTATAAGACTTAAAGATGGGGGATCAGTTTCTACTTTTACTTTATGTGAAGGCTTTCTTCACATGAAGCCTCCTCCACCTGCCCACCCCCATAATACCTTAGAGTTAAGTTCCCAGGGTTTACCTGCAGCCTTTCCTTACAAGCTTTTTCTTTCAAGTCATATGTTTAAATTTCTCTAATTTACCCTTATGCAAAAAACCTTTTCTATCTTTGCTCAGTTTTTCAAGAATACTTTTTTTTGTGTGAAATGTATTTAATTACATTTTATACTTGTAGATGAATCATATTCTACTACTGGAATCGGCTTAAATTTAAAGGCTTATGACATCTTGAGAATCTGGTTAGTACCATAAAAAGCTTAGATCTGCCAAGTTGGAAAGTGTATCATGATCAGTCCTTCTCCTCCAAAACATGAACCATCTTCAGCTGTCTTTTTAGGAGAAGCCAGCGAGCTTGGAGCAGGGAACACCTCAGGAACCAATGAATCAACCATTTGCTCTTCAGTTTTTTTCCTGTAGTAGTTAAAGCAATAAAAGCACAGATGCTTAGCTCCGTGTTTCTATTAGTACATCCCTCAGTCATTCTTTCAAGGAAGGGTTTGGGAGAAATAAGATGCTCTATAGATTCTAAAAATTGTTTCTTTTATTCTAAACTCAAAATTAATTCTTTCTTATTACCACAACAGCCAGATTGTTGATCTGTGTTGTTTAACAAGTCAGTCTAATAAAACCAGTTTATGGCTTCCTTAGATTTCAAACTACGAGTTTTTAAGATCTCTTTTTTAAAAGAGAGATTGTAGTGTGGCGAAAGAACATTGGAAAGGGACGCAGATGACCTTGTTCCAATTCTAGTTCTACCACTAGCTAGCTATGTAGCTCTAGAAATGTCACTTGACTTCTCTCGACTTCAGTTTTCTCAGGTGTCAGCTGGAGATTACTTCACCCACTTTGCAGACTTCTGATATATGCTTTAGAATTCTTAAAATATAAAGCCATGATCAGACTGTCAGATGGCAGAGATACAGTGGTAGTTTAAAAGTATGTGCTATTACGCTGAACAGTCTCCATTCTGTTCATTATATTGCTTCTTCAGATGGGAATTCAAGCCAAACACAAACCATATTCAACAAGAAGGTTGTCTGGTCTTGTTCACTTCATGTTTAACTGGTAGCATGTGAGATATGGGAGATAATTTGGCTGATCTGATAAGTGGATTTAAGTAGCATCCTTTTGGGTTTTTTTGTTTTGTTTTTGTTTTGTTTTGGTCTCTGGGACCTCTTATCCCTTTCATTCAAATTGGCTGGCTTAATATGCCAATTATAGACAGAGAAACTCTACCCTTCCTGTTCTCTTATGGCTCTTTTTCAAGCAAACCTCTCCAGCATTCAGTCAGGAGTGACAGTGTGGTCAGGTCTGTTATCCTTGGAGAAGTCAAAGAGACACCCTTCCCTTCCAGAGTGAGTACATTTTTATGCAGAGCTTTCCACAAGGATGCTGCCTTAGTGATGGTTAGAGAAAAAGGACTAAACTATTTTAAAAAGATTTACAACTTTGTACAAGATAGGAATGCTGAAGGTTTCTGTTGTGAAATATCTCTCTTTTAAAATATTCTCTTGGTGGGGCGCCTGGGTGGCGCAGTCGGTTAAGCGTCCGACTTCAGCCAGGTCACGATCTCGCGGTCCGTGAGTTCGAGCCCCCCGTCGGGCTCTGGGCTGATGGCTCAGAGCCTGGAGCCTGTTTCCGATTCTGTGTCTCCCTCTCTCTCTGCCCCTCCCCCGTTCATGCTCTGTCTCTCTCTGTCCCAAAAAAATAAATAAACGTTAAAAAAAAAAATTTAATAAAATAAAATATTCTCTTGGGGAAATCTGAAAATTTTAATATTTTTTAACAGCTTGTCTTCATATGTTTAGATTATTGTTACATGGGTTTTTAGCAATCATGGTTTCTGTTCATCTTAAGAACATCATCTCCTTGAAGAAATACTTTAGCATTATTTTTTTTGCATGAGATTCTTCTCATCTTTCCACGGGATCAGTCCAAAGACAGTGTGTTTTACCAGGGTGTGTTTTATGTGGAAAACACAGAGAAGAAATTGTCTTAAAGGATGTTCTTCACAAAGCGTGGGTCAGACCCTTCACTTGGAAATAGGCAATTATCCTCAATGTTGTCTCATTTCTTACATAGCAGTTAGGATGGTGTTTCTGCCCTGTTTCATTATTCTGCAGCTATGACAGGAGTCATCTGTGAGCTAAGCAAAAGCATGTTTCTCTAAGAGCAAGTAAGCACAGAGTTGGAAGTTTGACTATGCATTAGGATTGACCATAGAAACTTAGTAAAAGAAGGATGTGGAAGCCAGTATTTCTTCTAAATACTACATATTTTTAATAAGATGTGTTCTGTATTGCGAACACAAAATAGTTTATAAAGAATCTCATTAATGTCTAGCCAACTTTTTGTCTTTTAGTATCTTGTTGATTGTTCACGTTTTATATGTGAATTCAGAGCACATTCACAAATTGTGAGGCTTTTTTAAAGAACCCATTTTTGTGTGTATTTTCTTTAAAAAAATCATCTTTTCTTTATCATATTGCCTCCTTTTTTAATGTGCAGATAATGAACATGTCTATATGGAGTTGTCACAAAAGCTGTATAAATACTGTCCAAAAGAATGGAAGAAAGAGGCCAGCAAGGTACGACAATACGAAGTCACTTGGGTGAGATTACATTTATGAGCAAAACTATTTTGATTTTTTTAAAAGGTTTATTTTAGCTATTAGACATTAGAAAAATATTTAATTTTTTTAAATTTTAATTCATAAAAACACTATGAAGTAGAGAATGGAAAAGGGAAATGTGTAAGTTCTAAAATGTCACATTAATAAAGTATTAATAGCTTATAGCGTATGATAGATTTCAGGTATCTGTTTAAATCATGTTGGATAATAACTTTTTAGTAATTTGGGGATAATACTTTGAAACGAGAACCATGGAAAAAGAACTTGCTTCTCTTCTGTGGCTATGTTAGCCATCAAAACTGATGTTCTAGAAGTTATTCCTAATTTTTAAATCTACTTTTACTGTACTTTGATACTTTATAACTTTATTATACTGGTGCCTTTATTTAATAAACATCAATTCCATTTACATGGGGCATCATTCACAGGGAATTTGCCTAGTGTTTCCACCATATTAATCAGGAATAAGTCCCCAATGTCTAATCCTAGATCCTCCGATTCGTATTTAAGAATTCTTGGAATAAACGGGAAGGCTACTTGGAAGCTAACTACAAAGTAAGGAACGTTAAAGTCTAAATAAACAAACAGCATATTAGAATTTGGTATGTGGAATGTCAGAGGAACAAGAGAACATTTGTAATGAGGAGCAAATGGTCACCACAGGGGATAGAGCTGAGAGAGGAACTGGATCTCAACTAGAAATTTCCACTGGCATTTATTTTTATCTTCCCTTATGTTGTCATTGGCATTACAGTGAATGAGTATCAAATACATGATGATGCTTTATAACTTCCCAGTTTTGTATGAACTTAATATCCATAATGGACAACTGTCTACCCTCTGCCCAGCCACCACCACCACCCAGCCCCATTAGAAGTAGATAAAACCTTTCAAGGTTTAAAAGTATCTTGTAAATAATGGTATTTTGTTGAGTTTAAAACCCGTTTTGCAGTTACTAAAAATAGCTTTCTTTTTATATGTGTCTTTGTTTTAGGGTATTGACCAATTTGGACCTCCTATGATCATTCACTTCCGTGTGCAGTACTATGTGGAAAATGGCAGATTGATCAGGTATGAGGACAGGGAGAGACTCTAAACCTTCACTTCCACAAGCACTCACCTTCTAACATAACCAAATAAAGTTCTTGTGTGTGTTTGTCTCCATCTGCTAGAATACACATTTCAAAAGAGCAAGGATTTTAAAAGAAATCTTTGTGTACACTCATGCATCCTCAGTTCCTAGAAAAGAGGCACAGTAAGCGCTCTAAATATTTGTGGAATGAATGAATGAATGGATGAATGATAATGTTAGACTATTGATGAAAATGTTAACAATGTCACTGCCTCACATTGTCTGTACTCCCCATTTTCGATAACCAGTCATTCACCAAAAAGAAGATATTTCATTCAAGAAGGAACTAGCACTTTTGTGAAGAATGGAGAAATTAATTAAAGGACTGTATTCTTTTCTGGTGGTGAGATGGGGAGTAGGGCAGCAGCAAGAACTCTCCTGTAAAAATGGTGTCGATATAGCCTGGTTTTCTTTCCACCTTTGGGGTCTTGCTTCTGTTCTTGGCAGGGGCCTTAAAGCTAAGATTACACCCAGTGGAGCTATCCTGTGAGAATCTTAGATGCAGTTTGGCAAGGGCAGGTAGTTGATTCTTCTTCTGGAGGTGGGTGCATGAGCAATTCTATGCTACTGATACAGACTCAGAATTTACCATTTCAAAAGCTCAGTTTATCATTTGTATAGGAGGATTCAGTGCTGGAAAGCTTTCAGAGTTGGTTTTGTTAATGGATAGAAAATGCTGATGGAAAATACTAGAAATGTGAACTCTGTTTTCCTTATTTACTTTCAAACTCTGAGAAACTCCATTAAAAGATACAAAGATACATTTGGCTAATAAGTTATATGTGAGATCTGCTCTTAATATTTGTGTTATTGCCATATGTAAATTAAAAAGTAAAAAATATTAGCCCATAAATAATTTTTTCTAAAGGCCAAGAAACTTTCTTAGTTACTTGGAGTTTATGTAAAATTTTTGCTCAATTTACCTACTAAGCATGGAATGTGCTGAAAAGAAGGAAAATACATTATTTAGCCACAAATTAACCCCCTGGGGCTAATGAATGTTTAATTCATCCCTGTACTTCTGCTCTTTTCCCCAGGGATGAACTAGTCCAAACACTGTGTGGTCAGCATTATAAAAAGAAATGCCTTGAAAAGTACTCTGTCCCATGGGGAAAAAATTACATAAATGCTTTATTTTTAAACTCATCATACTTAAACATGATCTTAGTTAAAATAAACTCATGTTTTTATTGTCATCAGCTAATGCATTGTAAATCTCAGGTAAACCTTTGACTTAAACTAATAGGGGAGGCAAGTAAGCTCATTAAATACACACACACACACACACACACACACACACACACACACACACACACACTTCTTTTTTTTCCTTGCATTTTTACTTTGATCACAAAGGCATCCCATTTGCCTGTGACATTTTTTGGAGCTTGACCATGTTTTTCCCCAGTCAGCACTTCTTATTCAATGTATTTAATGGGAACTATATTTATTTCTGACTTCAACGGATTGTAATGAGTGCACTAGTAGGATTTCCATCTGTGAGGAGTATCATGACTGTCATAACATGTTCCTATAAAACCACACCCATAAAGTAACATCCACTTAATTAAAAAAAGAGAGAGAGGGAGAGAGAGATTTAAAGCAAGCTTTTTTTTTTTTTTTCCAGTTCATTCTGAGAAAGAAAACAAAACACTATAGTTTTTTTTAATGGGCATTTAAACAAATTTTTTTTATAAGGACCTTAGGGTATTTGTAATGTGCTCAGCTGAAAAACAAAACAAAACAGAGGAGCAAAACATTAAAGCCAGGATTGTCCCCTCAGATTTGTCCTTGTTTCTGTCATATGTGCCGCATTATTGCAGCAAAGTTACTTTAACGCAGACAACAAATGCCTAGGCTTCTAGAGTAATACTTGTTTCAGTGAAATATTTACCATGTTGGAATGGATGATTCAGATCTTGCTTCCATTCTCTGAATGAATTAAATGTTATAGGCCTCAGGAAATGTTATTTTTGCCTGTTGGGGTAGTCAGACTTGGAGTCCTACCTCCCTGCAACCTGGGTGAGGCAGCAATCAGGTATTAGCCTCAACCCCCCACCCACTTTTTTTCAAGGAGTGTGGAGGGAGGAAGAGGGAACAGAAACAGAAGAGCTCTTGTCACCAGATGGATAGCAGGATTTGGGTTCTGTTTACACGCCATTGGATTGTTCCATCAAATGTGAGTTCTGTTTTCTTTTATTTTCCTAGTGACAGAGCAGCAAGATACTATTATTACTGGCACCTGAGAAAACAAGTTCTTCATTCTCAGTGTGTGCTCCGAGAAGAGGCCTATTTCCTGCTGGCAGCCTTTGCCCTGCAGGCTGATCTTGGGAACTTCAAAAGGAATAAGCACTATGGAAAATACTTTGAGCCGGAGGCTTACTTCCCATCTTGGGTAGGCACTGTTTTCGAGTTTTAAAGTGTTTTCTCTAGCACATTTCTAGTTCATTATGCTGCTACTCAGGTTGCTTCGAGAAATGGGAACACAGATGTTTGTGGCCAGTAAAACCCTTCGTGATGCCCAGATAGAAGTTTAACACTTAAGAGCATTGTACACATGATCTCTTGATATATTTGATCTGCTCCTTCCTGTTAAAGGGGAAGAGGATTTCTGTCCATCCTAAATGTGGTGGAACCTGGAACTTACCAGCCTTCTTTTGGCAGTTGCTTGGTCTTTGCTTTCTTATTTACTCTTAATTCAAGCATCATTTTCCTCCCTTTGAAGGGAGAAAAACATTACACTTTGAAAAGTAAGATCATTCACAGCTTTTCCTATGTTGAGAAAACAAATTAAATAGTCACTTTGCCCTGACCGCCATCTCCTCCACTCTCGAGAGAGGAACCACGCCTTTACGGCAGCAGGCAAATTTAGGTTATTCGAACTGTCTCAACTGTCCTTTCTCCACCCAACCCTGCCCATGTCTATGCCCACCCTTCCTCCAGGCCTCTGTTGAAAATCTGATTTTTTTACCTTATTTCCCAGATACACTCCTCAACACAATTCCATCTGCTTTCTGTCCCCGACGCTCCCCTCCACTCCTCATGCTGTCCCTACGGTCACCAGTGACCTTTAAGTTGCCGAATTCTGTGGACACTTTCCACTTCTTTTCTCGGCTGCATTTGACATAGAACCACTCTTCATTTGGAGATCTCCTCCAAACGAATGCTTTTCTTTTTTTTAACAACCACCTATGTGCCAGTAGCTCCCAAATCTGTTTCTCTCCTCTGTGTCCATGAGACAGCTGTTTACCCATAGGCACCTCAAACTCAAAATGTCCCAAGTCAACTTCATCTTTCTCCCACCTGATTTCATGTATTCCTGCCTCTGTGTCCCTAATGTCAGCTAGTAGCACTGCCATCCACCCAGTCACCCAGAAACTTGAGTCTCCTGCAGAGCTCTCCCCATCACCCTTCTTTCTCCCTGGCCTGCCCAAACCAACCGAAACAACCTAGAACATAAAATACTTGATTACCCGTCACCAGCTTAAGAAATCAAATTCTCTTGAAGTTTCCTTGTGGTAGGCTTCCTGAATGTTTGTCGTGTGCCCTCCCCAGCGTCCTTGCTCCCGTCCCCCAGGTTCCAGCTCTCATCAGCACTCAGCAGCACTGCTGAGGAGGCTTGTTGTCTTTGCCTCTGTCTTTAGAGCTTGCGGATGAGTGGATTTTGCTCCTGATTTAAATCTTCAGGGGCTTCCCTCTCACCTACAGAGTGAAAGCCAGGCTCCCACACATAACCGAGGAACTTTCCAGGATCTGATCTCTGCCAGCCTTTCCAGCTTCCTTTCAGGTTGTCCTGCACCTTGAATTTTATGCCCTAACAACATCCAGCAATCCCTATGTCTCCAAACGCCCTGTAGTATTTTGCACTTCTGGCCTTTCTTCCTGAAGTTCCCTTAGCCAACAGAACCCCTCTCCCTGTTTGACCTGGCCAACTCCTGTTCATTCTCCAAGACTCTGCTCAGATGTATTTCCTTCTGGGCAGACTGGCTAGGTACCCAGTGCCCCTCCTCTGGGCTCTAGAAGCCCCCACTATGCGTAGTGTTTTACATCTTATTTTCTGTTTATCTTTTGCCTCCAGTGAACTGTTTATTAGTATATTCAAAAGGGCAGGCTTAAAGTATACCTTTTCTGTTTCTTCAGCACTTCACATTGAGGTGCTCAATATAAATTTTTGTGAACTGATTGCCAGCATGTCAGTTGTTAAAGAGAAACCACAAAAGGTATCAAGCTTTTACATATCAGTGTCTGTGGAACCCAAATTAGCCTATGTTTACATCCGGTAAGTTGTCATCACATACTTGCTGAATCTCGGTCTTTTAAATCAGATCTTCCCAGTCAGTGCGCCATAGCTTCCAGAGCACTGAGATACAAGTTTCTTCAACCTTTGGGATCACGAAAGCCACTTACTTCAGTGCCCTTGCAAATATTATTTTCTGTGTGTTCTTTGAGCCGAGAAAAGTTAACAAATACTAATTTAGGTGATCTCCAGGTAAAAGGAGTCTGAAAGAAAAATCTGTAACTTGAGTTCTCAGCAATATTAGCCAGCAATCTATCATGTTTAAACAACAGGAAGAAACAAAATGTCAATATCTATAAAAACATTTAAAACTAAAAATTCTTTATTTTTTATTCTGATGATTTTAAGCACTACTCTTTTTGCTCTCTTTGCATAATCCTTTCCATGTTTTATAATCCTTATGAAATTGGCTAAGATTTTTTTTTTCAGTTTTTTAAATATTTTTTATTTATTTTTGAGACAGAGAGAGACAGAGCATCAGCAGGGGAGGGGCAGAGAGAGAAGGAGATACAGAATCCAAAGCAGGCTTCAGGCTCTGAGCCATCAGCACAAAGCCTGACCTGGGGCTCAAACTCACAGACTGTGAGATCATCACCTGAGCTGAAGTCGGACGCTTAACCAACTGAGCCACCCAGGCGCCCCTTGGCTAAGATTTTTAGCTAATCTTAGCCTGCAGCTGCTGGATACTATATGTTTTGGGCATTGAAAGGCCCAGGCTACTGTCCGTTGAAAAACTAAGCCATAGTGAATTGCAATGAATGTTTGAATGAAATTGTTTCCTCACAAATACTCAAATAGAGTGTTCACATCAGCCTTTTATGCAAAAACCAAAAATGTTTCAGAGAATTCCCCCCAGTCCCCTGCCTTCTTTGGATTAACATTTAGAACCTCCCACTCTGTGGCTGTAATTTTAGAAGAGTTAAGTAGGATCCAGAACCTGAAGATGTGTTGACAGTAGATGTATTTCATAGTACCAATAATTTTGCAAGTATAAACAGTGATGTGTACAAAATTTTGCAAGTTTGCATGTTTTTTTTTCTTGGTGAGTTTAAAGCCAAGAGAACATATTTTTCTCATTTCTTGTGATTTTTCTTCTCAGATATACAGCTAAATTGACTTTGGAGCTTCTAGTACTAGCTGATTCAGCCTAGTAACATAACAGATGGTGAAAACAGAATACAAGTGGGAAATTTCCTGGTGGAAATTAGCCAGTTTCCATGACCTATGTTAGGTCCTTGTCCTTTCATCATTTGGGAGACAAGGGTAGGACTCCCATCACTCCAACAGATGTGGCAGTGCATACCCATTGTATTCCAACAGGTTGTTTCCAAGAGAGGGAAGGACTACATCCTGAAGCACATTCCAAACATGCACAAAGATCAGTTTGCGCTGACAGCTTCCGAGGCTCATCTTAAATACATCAAAGAGGCCGTCCGACTGGATGATGTTGCCGTTCATTACTACAGATTGTATAAGGTACAAAACTGCAGTCAGCCTGCAGCTTTTGGTTGTTGTTGTGAAATGTTTGTTTATTTTTGAGAGAGAGTGAGCGGGGGAAGGGCAGAGAGGGAGGACAGAGGATCCAAAGCAGGCTCTGCGCTGACAGCAAAGAGCCTAACGTGGGGCTTGAACTCGTTAAAGAGCTGTGAGATCATGACCTAAGCCCAAGTCAGAGACTTAACCCACTGAGCCACCCAGGCACCCAAGTCTGCAGCTTCTGAAGACAAAATACCTTCATGATTTGAAGAAGCTTTTATTAAAAGTTGTCATATCATTTTTTAGTGGGCTTTTTTTTTTTTTTTTTTAAAAGGATTCATGTGAACTGTTTCTCATGGTAGTTCAGTCTTCGAGTTAATGATGCTTTTCCTCAGGCCTGGGAGCATGATAGAGTCCCTTTATAATGGTTCTAATGCTGAGATGCCAAGTGGCTTCAAATTGTGAGTCTGGCTTTTCAGTGACTATGAAATAGTTATTTTTCTCCTTTCCAAATCTGCATCTCTGCCTTGGGGACTAACATTTGCAACTTTTTTGATGTAATTTTTAATGTTCCTCTAAGTGAAGCCGTACCTGTACTGTATCCATTAATTAGAAGAACAACCACAACAGCTAGTGTTTACTGAGTATTGTTTTTATGGGGCACGCTTTATTTTCTTTTTTAAATCCTCACAGTTCTATAAAATAGAAGCTGTAATATTCAGCTTCTATTTGGAAGGAAACAGACCAAAGACCACAAAACTAGCAACGGGCAGAGCCAGGATTCAACCCAGGTCTACCTGACTAAAGGAATTCGTGGATAAAAATAGTGCCCAGCACATGTTAAAAATGATGTTAAGTTGTTACCATTATCATTGTTATTAATGTGCTTCTTATTACTACTATACCCTTTGTGGTAAGTTTAGCATAACTAGACCATTGGAGACTAGGCTGTAGTTTGGATATGTTACTGGATGATCTTCTTGTCTGGTTCAGAAAACTTAATTAGGTACCAAAGAATGGTATTTTTTTTTCTCACTTCTGTGCCCAAGAGATGAAATTGTTAATGTCCTGTCATCCTTGAGAGGCATAATTGAGTTCTATAAGATCTCTTTGGCCAAATTCCTGAAGGACGGAGTTGTTTGTTTCCTTGAGTGGTTTCATTTGTGACACCTCAGTTTATATGAGAAAATGCAAATAAATGGCATTTGACAATCAGTTTATATTTTAAAATGTACAGGAAATATGAATGGTGTATAAGAAGGAGTGAGTGTAGCTTTAGAGTCAGATATCAGAAACCCTGCATCACCACCGTTATGGGATCCTAGGCAAATAGAACTATAATTCTGGACCATCTATTAAGTGGGAATGGTTCAATACGTCTCACGAGGTTGGGAAAATTCTATGATGTAATGAATCTGAAATAACCAGGTGGAATGTCTGGTACATTAATCAGTGCTCAATAAATACCAAGTGCTTCTCACTTGATAGGGAAACATAGTATTTTAAAGAATCCTGTTAGGAATTTATCTTTTGCTTAAAAGATTTACCTTTTATTTGCTTACGATGTGGTACTTCTACATGGCATAGAAAATGACTCTCTTGGGGCACCTGGGTGGCTCAGTCCGTTAAGTGTTGGATTTCGGCTCAGGTCATGATCTCGCAGTCCATGAGTTCGAGCCCCGCATCAGGCTCTGTGCTGACAGCTCAGAGCCTGGAGCCTGTTTCGCATTCTGTCTCCCTCTGTCTCTCCCCTCCCCCACTTGTGCTCTGTCTCTCTCTCTCTCAAAAGATCAATAAATGTTAAAAAATTTAAAAAAAAGGAAATGACTCTCTTATCTTCTTAAAGCAAGATAATTAATAATAATGAAACTGAATGAAGTGGGGAAATAGATATTGTTACCTCATGGGCGGAGTTTTCATTCTTTAGAGAAATCAAGTGGCAGCCATTAAAACTGCTCGTAAAGTGGAAATCAGGTAGACAGAGGATAGGAAACATTCTGGGGGGAAAACTTCTGTGTCCCTCTCCCAGTAGTACATGCCTTGTGCCTGCACAGCCAGCATTTTTATGAGCACAATCTTATTTCAGGAAGCAATCAGAGTAGCCTTGAAGAGGAAATTGACCTAAACTCACAGTGATAGATTGATTTCTCCTGCTGAACCTATACTGTATGTGCCTTTCTTGATGTAAAAACATATTAGTTGGAGAAAACAGCCCAAATAGTGAAAATAGGCCATATCTTGTCTTTACTATACCAGATGAGGATGCATTTTCTAAAAATATTTCTTCCCATATTCTTGGGAACGCTGGCACTAAACATACTCATTTATTTTTATTGAGGAATTTCATAATGAAAATATTTTAGTTACTTTGTGATTTTGTTTATCTTCTATTTTGAACTTCATACCTTATATCCCATTATTACATATGAGCACTCCAAAGATGTGGTCAAATTTCAGAGTACATTTAAAATTCAGAGAACATTTCAGGGGTTTTTGTCCCCTACACTCATTTTAGTTGATTTTTTATAGTTTAGCTGGTAGAATGTATATCATATTGGCAAGTGACAATTGAACTTTTTAGAAATAAGTATTTTCTTTCCAAACAAACTGAATATAAAGCTTTTACAGTTTTTTATCCTCATGGGATGACAGTCTTAAATATTTAGGCGTGCCTCTGATTTTGGCTTCAGAGGCAGGAGAGTTACATAGTTTGAAACCTATAAAATCTAATGCATCTCAGAATATATCTATGATATTAGATTCAAGATTCTGACATCTGGGAAAAGAAAGAGAATTAATAAATAAATAAATAAATAAACAAGCAACAAAAATAGTATTGTTTACTAGAGTTTTCAGCGATGGCGGTATTTAGAATATTGTCAGATATGAAAGTGTATATAATATAGTAAAAACACTAATCCTTTGAAATCTCAGTGGTTTAAAAAGTAGAATATATCCTTGCTCATGTGTATGTGCTCATGATTTTCTTAAAGCTTATGGTAAGTTAGGGATGCAAAAAGATGAACAAAGTTCTGTAAATTTTGTTTTTAATGTTTATTCTTGAGAGAGAGAGAGACAGAGCACGAGAGGGGGAGGGGCAGAGTGAGAGAGGGACACAGAACTGGCAGGCCCAGGGTAATCTGAGTACTACAGCATTGGATTTGGGGCCCCACCCCAGAGCCGTGAGGATCTTATTTGAGCTGAAGTCGGATCCCAATGGACTCCTGATTGCCCAGATGTTCCTGGAATGAAGTTATTTTAAATCAAAAATTTTCTAATCAGATTTCTCCTTCTGTTTTTTCCCTTTGGTGTTTAATTGTCCATTGTACAAAAAAAAAAAAAAAAAAAAAAAAAAAAACCACTACTGTTTGATATGATTTTATTTCTATAGGATAAAAGGGAAATTGAAGCTTCTCTGATGCTTGGACTGACCATGCGGGGAATACAGATTTTTCAGGTCAGTAAATGAGAAATGAGTGTCAAGTGGCATCCGCCATGTCTCATGTTGACAGTGTACCTGTGTGGTCCTTGGACAGGTTCACTGGTTCATTTCTGGCCATCGACTGGCCATTACTTCCTATTTGTCTAGTACAAATGGGGATGATGTAGGATAAATGAAGTGATACAGTCCAAACCTTGACAGTAATAAGTCCTCTAGAATAGAAAGTAATAAGCCCAAGATTGGCTCAGGTTCATCACTAACAGATCATTAACATCCAAACATTTTTCTTTGTGTGTTACTGATTTTAAATATCCTGATTATAATGCTCCTCTGGAGCGTTACAACTGTGTAAAGAAAAAAAAATGACATCTTAATACAGTGGCAGACCACTGTATTTTAATTTTCATTACACTTTTCCGATACAGCCTGTCCCCTGTCCCTGTCACGCTTTTGCAGGTGGGATGGTATTATACCACAGCCATCAACAGGAAAGAGAGAATCCCTCTTTCTGTGAGACCAGGGAGAATATAAGAATCTCTTATCTTGATGTAGGCACAATATCCAATTATGAAAGTCTGAGTGCCTTATCTCATCTCTCCAATGCCTGAGTCTTTTTGGATTTTTTATTTAAATTTATGGATAGGCTCAAAGGGAAAAGGTTGCCTTGAAAGGCCAGTTAATGCAGTCACTCAGGAACCCAAAGCTACAGAATTGTCTCACTAATCTTTTAATTACTGTCTGAACATCTCCAAAGAGAGTTGAGGACCTCTTTCAGATTTTAATTACTGTATTTTAGTTTTCTGGGAGAGAAGTTAGAGCCATTTTAAAGTGTCTGGCAGTTTCCTCAGTAACTCTGTATGCATTAAAATTTTTTTCCACAGAATTTAGATGAAGAGAAACAATTACTTTATGATTTCCCCTGGACAAATGTTGGAAAGTTGGTATTTGTGGTAAGTTTAAAGTAACTGACTAAAGAAAAATTGCTCAGTTGTTTGTTTTTGTGGATTTTTGTTGTTCCCTGTTTTGTTTTTAAAAATAATGCTGTGACAGGCACAAAAGCTGATATTTTTTTTAAAAAGTTGAAAATGAAGACAACTCACTTTCTTATATTCTTATGTATGTGCTCTATTCGTTGCCACTCATAGGCCATGAATCTAAAATTAAGGAATTTGACAGCAAAAGAAATTATTTATTTAATTTGTGAGTCTGGTCCCCACCGTGCTATCCTAAGTTATTCTAGTTGCAGAAGAAATGTAGTGGGGGAATGTGCAAGATGACTTCAGCAAAGAGAATGATTTTCAAAAGCCTACATCAGAGGAATCAGAAAACGGAAAGCCATAATCACAGGATAAATTACTCTTGGCGTGGGGGTAGGCCAGTTCTTTTGGAAGTTACTTCTTTTGAGCAAAGAATAAAGAGTGATATAAAAAGATGTTTCTATTAATATCTAACTCTTTGAAACTCATCATTATAAAGAAAGGTCTACAATTCTTAACAGGAAAAAAATGGTGTTATTTTTAGAATATTGAGAATAGTATCCTCTTTTTTGTTATAAGAGCAAATTCATGATTTTTCCCAGCTGTTTCTCTACTTTGCCGGCTCTATCCGGTTTGGGGCAGGGTTCAAAGAATTACAGTTAATAATATGTATATCTGGTGGTCATTAAAATCCATATTTTTTTCTTTGTTCAGAAATTGTTGGAAAAAAATACACAAAGGAGGAAGATAAGGATTTGTACACATACACAAATAAAGAAGATGGCCTATATAAATAAAGGGCTGTATTGCCAAAGAGCATTTGCGTTCTGACTCCATACTGCCCTGTGAAGTCAAAGACCTGTTCCTGACTTTACATTATTTTAATTACTTGGGCCCAGTTCAATCTGATTTCACTTCACTCATACATCAAATGGGGCCCTACCTGCTTCCTCCTCACTTGGTCTCTCTCATTTAGGCCCTTTGTGAAAGGATCTGAGCTGTATGAAAATGAGCAAATTATTAGCCCATTACCCCAGTCATGTCCCAAATTGAGTAGACATAAAATGCATTTATGAAATTGAGTCTCTTAAGGGTCCTGGACACAGTGGTTCCTGAATCTAGTTTTGCATCGGTCTCATCTGAGGAGTTGGTTTAAGATAAAGATTTCTGGGCCTCATCCTCCTCCCCTAAGAGAGTTTTGATTCAGAGGGTGTGGGTTGAGGACCAGGCATCTATTTTAATGAACTTCCCAGATGATTCTTCTCACAGCCAGCCCAGTCCTGCCCCAGTCGTGTGACCTTGAGCAAGTTACTTAACCTCTGTGCATTGGTTTCTTTGTTCCCAAATGGAGATAATTGGTCCTCCCCCATAGACTGATTCTGAGGATTAAATGAGTCAATACCTGCCTAGTGCTCATTCAGTGTCAGTTATTACCATTCTAGCATTGGGATCCACTGGTGGTTCCTTTAAAATGAAAAATCGAGAGGTGAAAAATCCATTCCCAACTGAGATACACAGAGCCATATTGTTTTTTATTGACTTTAAGTGTGTGGTTAGAAGATGCCTCTCTCTGCTTTACTTCTCCCTTCTGGCTGAGAATCATTGTGTCCGCAGTATTCCTTATGCAATCCTGCTGCCCTGTTCATTCATAGGAAAGGTGAAGGAATTGATAATTCCATTTCTGGGGCATCTGGATGGCTCCGTTGGCTAAGCTCTTGATTTCAGCTCAGATCACATGATCTCACAGTTTTGTAAGGTCCAGCCCCAGGCCAGGCTTTGTGCTGACAGTGCAGAGCCTGCTTGCTTGGGATTCTTTCTCTCATTCTCTGCCCCTCCCTAGCTCAGATGCGTGTGTGCTCCCTCTCTCTCAAAATAAATAAACTTACAGTTTTCCATAACTATAAAAAACTGCCAAACTCTCACCCTCAGCTTATGTTAATGAACTTTATGTTAATGATCCCAGACTTAAACAATGAGATTCCTGGTATCTCTGATAGAAATACTTAACGGTACTTATATCTCTTCCTTTCTCTTTCCTGTCTCATCCCTTGAGCTGTCCCTCTAGCTTCCACCTATCCCCCCCCCCCCCCCCCCCCCCCCACCTTTTTTAAATGAACCGTACACCCAGTGTGGGGCTTGAACTTAACAATCCTGAGATCACGAATTTCATGTTCTACCAACTGAGCCAGCCAGGTGCCCCCCACCCAGCCTCCCTCTTTTATCCAGCTGAAGAAGTTTTCCGTATTTTCTTAACCCTAAAAAGGTATTTATAGTGTTTGCTCTTATAACTCCTCGTTTATTTCCTCCTCAGAGTTTATCACAAACTATAGTTATTTTATATATTTATTTGCCATCTCTCCCACCAGAATGTATTTCTGTGAAGGTAGCGACCTCGTCTGTCCTATTCACTGTTGTTTTCTTGGTGACTAGCACAGTGTTTGGTACCTAGTGTTTAACAAATATTTGAATGCATCACGCTTCTAGAATGTCATCTTGTTTGCTGAATTAGGGTGTTGGAATTGCATTTGAAGATGCTTTCATGATGAGCCCTTCTCTTCTCCATTGTATAAATGGCCTGACTAGCCAGAGAAACCAAAGATACTCCTCCACCATCATACCCGGTCGGTGTCGACAGGATGACCCTGGCTAGACACTTCCCTGAGTTTTTGGTAATCCTTGTCCTGGGACATTTTTGAAAAGGAAAACAGCAGTTTATCTCTCGCTGAATTTTGAATGCAGCTTTATACGTCTCTTTTTGAATCTGCACTTCTCCTTACTGAAGAGAAAATGAAGGGGACCTTGGCAAATTAGAGACTTACCTTCCAAAAGCTGACTCGTGCTTTTGCTCCACAGGGTAAGAAATTTGAGATTTTGCCAGATGGCTTGCCCTCCGCCAGGAAGCTCATCTACTACACAGGGTGCCCCATGCGCTCCCGACACCTCCTCCAGCTCCTGAGTAACAGCCACCGCCTCTACATGAATCTGCAGCCTGTCTTGCGCCACATCCGGAAGCTGGAGGAGAACGAAGGTATGGCAGAGTGTTGGGCGGGAGAAGCACACACGGTGCCTTGGCCACCTCTGGCCCCTTAGTCTGTAGCTGCCATCAGTTGGGGCTTTAGACCCCTGCAAAATGGGATTCGAGGGCTGAGCCTCTCCAGATTCAGGGCCGTGTTCCGCCTCACATCTCACCACTGTCCCAGCACCTGTCCCAAATACCTGAGGTCATCCCTATCATTTAGCTATCCCCAAGTACAGTCTCTTTAACGTTTCCCCACACTTGCTTTGAAAATCCTTGCAAAAAGCCACCACATGAAGATGCAGGGCAAGATTTATCTGCGACTCCGAGCACCTTGGAATCTGGAATTTTTTCCAGTGCAATTACTCCTTAGATTAAAGTAACAATAAAGGTGGGAGACAGAAATGTCTCCAGTCTCTCTTATTGACTGCTGAGAGGACCCCAGGTCTGGGTCAGCAGGAATGACAAAGGAGAAAGAAGTTTTCTTCTTCTTTTTTTTAATGTTTATTTATTTTGAGAGAGAGAGGGAGAACGGGGGAGAGGCAGAAAGTGAAGGAGAGAGAGAGAATCCCAAGCAGTTTCCACACTGACAGCACAGAGCCCAACGCGGTTCTCGACCCCACAAACTGTGAGATCGTGACCTGACCTGAAACAAGAGTCCGACACTTAACCAACTGAGCCACCTAAGTGCCCTGAAAGAAGTTTCCATTTGAGGATTATATCAGCCAGTCCTGTGGGGGCTTTGCTGAGATACATTTGGGGCCCCTGAAAAGGAGAATGAGTCATGGTAAGGAAGAGGAAGGCAGGGATTGGGGCCTCTAAGAGCAGGCTTCAACTCTACTGGTTAGCCCTTCATCTTAAGTCATGGCACCCAGGGTTTTTCCATTTAACACACACGAACTTCTGATCCCCCAAAATGCTACTGTGCTCATTTGCCTATTTCTTTAAAAAAATTTTTTTTTCCTTAGTGTTTATTTACTTTTGACAGAGAGATAGAGTATGAGTTGGGAGATGGCAGAGAGAGAGAGAGACAGAATGAGAAGCAGGCTCCAGGCTCTGAGCCACCCAGGCGCCCCTGCCTATTTCAATGTCTTCCATTTGTTTTGTAGATTCCCATTGTGGTAGTTTTTATAATTCAATTGGATTAGATTTAGGATATCTGCATGAACATTTGGATGCAGATTCATATCCTTAGGTCCCTATCTGAAACAGATTTCGACCTCTCAGACCCCAGCTTTCTCACAGAAACACAAATACTTGTCCTCTTAAGAAAAAACCTGAAAGAAGCTTGCACATCTAATCAATTTCTCTCAAAACCTATCTCTCTAACTAAATGAGACCCAGTTTGGGGATGCCACTGCATCTTAAGTAGCCATTAGAACATGAATCATTGTGCACGGTCTGCCACCAAACTGCTTTCTTGTCTTTGGAGAGAACTGGTGTATAACCACCAGGTGTATCGGCTTCCTCTGCTGCCAGGCTGCCCCTTCTTCCCCACGATGACACATTGCGATAACAAGCACCTCTCTCCAATGCTGACATGATTATTAGGAGGACTCGAGATGGGACAGAAGCGCCAAGGGAACTTGTAAGAATAGGTGACTTATGTGCAGAGCCCATCATGTGCCAAATGGGTCACATTCCTAAATGGCCAGCTTATAGCGCCTTGAGAAGTTTCTTTATCTCATCAGCTTTGCCAGCATTTTAGCAGATTCTTGCTTAGATGACCGTAAGGGGAGCCCTTTAGAGCCTGAATGAATTCCAGAAGCCCTGTAGGTTCTCAGGTAAAATGACAAAGAATTTTCAGTTCTTAGAGGGCAGGGTTTTGTCTGTTACCACGCCTAGTAGTATCAAGTGCATTTGGGGGCTTTCGCGATTAGGGCAATGAAGGAATGATAAAGGTGTGGATTGTATTTGTTATTTGGGTAAATGTAGATAGATTTGGGCGGATGTCTCTTTTTTTTCTTCTAAAGAAAACATACTTCTTTTCTTCTACTTAGAGATCCCTCACAGTCTAAAGAACACCCAAAATTAAGTTTCTCTGGGCCAGTTTTGGCCTGATGCCAGTTATTTCACTCACGCTGAAAGTCTTCATCACTTTTACAATAAAGCCCTTTTCTTAGCAAAAAAAACAGCACAGAAAGAGAGTGTATTTTTCTTAAATTTAATTTAGATCCATCTTGTCTGAGATACTCTTCTCGCATCTTATGGTAGAAGATGATCACAAGAATTATTCCATAGCATTTAGAAGGGGGAGAATGCCTTTGTCATTAAAAAAGTTTAAAAACAAAAGTTTTTTTTTTTTAACCCAACTTTATTCAACAGTGGGAGCTTATTCTTAGGCCATATTCCAAGAGGTCACACTGCATTCTGTTCCAAAATAATAGATGAAAAGCTCTGTGGTCTCTGGGCTTTTACAACAGAGGGAATCCAAAGAATACCAACACATTGGTAATCTGTGCTGTTGACTCCGGTGATTACTAGGGAGTTAAGAGGTTGCATTTCCCAGGTCTCAGAATAAACTTCATAATCACGTCAGCATTTCCTTCATGACACTTTTTATTTGTACCAGGTCTAAGTGATACAGCTCTGGGAAGGGAACACTGGCCAGCCACGTAGAACAGTAAGGCCGTGCTGACACGCTGACACGAAGCAGATTTACGCTAGGCTCCTGTGAGGTAGACCACAGTTAGGCGAGCGCTTGCCTTCTGTTACTAGAGTAACCGTAATAGACTCCCAACCTGCTGGGAAGGGTTGGGAGTAAAAGGGCTATTTGTAAAGAGGCAGAAAGCTTTTAAGTTATTAGAGCCACAATTCCCACTTGTCTTAGAACTCTGGCACCCTAAAGAACTTTTTAGAAAACTGTTTTTTCACTTTCCACCTTTCCAAGTGCCACGTGGCTAGTATTTTGAAACCACAGTGAATAGAAATTGTATGAGAATTTTGCAAACCCTTTTATCTCTCCGTCTTCATCTCAACCCTTGTTGTCTTCAGAAAACAGGAATGTTTATAACCCAGTCTAGCACTAAAACATGGATTTTAGATGATGCACATCTGTCTCAGATGTGTGTTTTGGGCTCTGGTGTCCTGCCCCAGTCTGCTTTCTGTGTGGCTGTGCATTCTCACTGTTGTGATGCAGCCTGATTCCCTAGAATTGACATGAATGGCTGGAGCCCAAAAACGTACACATCGCCTTCTGCAAGCATTTTTGCATTTTGCATCCTGGAGAGCGCATCTTCTCTTTCTGCTAATGCTTCTTCCCTCCCTGAGGAAGCTGTGTAGATTATACTTCAGACACCAGGAGTGCAAGTGATTTCACTTACCCAAGAAACAAGACAATTAAATTCATCAGCAGGCCTCTGAGAACCCAATTAGTCTACAAGTTAGCAATTTCTGAAATAATATCAATTTAACATTCCTCAAATGCATTCTCCATCTTTAACATTGTCCTAATGTGTTATTTGTCATCAGTATTAAGAATACAAAGAATCTAAACTGTTTCTCTGTTTTACAGTTCTGACCTGAGACACAAAAGTATTGTATACCTGCAACTCAGTTGTAACTTTGTGCCTTAATGTGATCGTTGCTTTAGCATTTGATAAAAGGGACTTTCTAACATTGCGTCTTGGTGTTAAAGAATGGCACTGACATGTTAAATCAAAGAAGAGTTTTGTCAGTCAGAGGCCACATAGGTATAAATCATCAAACCAGTAGTGATGACTGTGTTTTCTAAGTAGATGGTAAAACCTCACTAGTTCACACCCCAAATGGAGAAAAGCAGTTTTCACTAATGAAAAACTAAATGTTAGAACTCTTTGAAGGAAATTTAGAGAAGAATAGTTTTATTTTAAATTATATTCAGCAGTCAGAACTGAGCTACTGAATGGGCCAAATTGAATAAATGAAATCATTGGCAATTAGTGTAATTATATTTATCAAACAGTCTTCCATAGCAGTGCTTCTGAAACTATTTGTGGGGAAGGACCAGATTTTTAACATTCCTCATCCACCGTGGACTGATACTTTTACAAAATACAAAATCACCTTAGTGGCTGTCACGGCACTGTCAGGTTGCTCTGAAAATCTCTAAGTATTTATTCTCACTTACTGAGCTTACATCGCTGTGGACCAATAACAACTTGCAGACAAGAGGTGGTCTGGTGACTCTACTTCAAATGGCACTTTTCCGAGTTTTGAAGCGTCGAAACCCTTTGAGTAGTCTCAGTACTCGCTCAAATCCGTTGTACTGGTTTTTTGCTCATCTTCCTAAGTCGACCCCCTCCCACCCACCCGGGTCAGAACCCTCACTGCGCCTAGATCCTGGGTGTGATCCTGCTTAACTAGATCCTGGGTGTGAACTTGCACGCGTTCTTAGCCTGATGTGCCCTGTAGGCTAACCAGGCGTGTCTCCCCCTCCCTTGCCCTCCCCCGCCCGCGGTCCTGCGTGAATGTGCTCCTCACCGCGCAGAGAAGAAGCAGTACCGGGAGTCCTACATCAGCGACAGCCTGGACCTGGACGTGGACCAGCTGGAGAAGCGGTCCCGGGCCAGCGGCAGCAGCGCGGGTAGCGCCAAGCACAAGCGCCTGTCCCGCCACTCCACCGCCAGCCACGGCAGCTCGCACACGTCGGGCATCGAGGCGGACACCAAGCCCCGAGACGCAGGGCCGGAGGACAGCTACTCTGGCAGCGCCATCCACCGCAAGCTGAAGACCTGCAGCTCCACGACCAGCCACGGCAGCTCCCACACCTCCGGGGTGGAGAGCAGCGGCAAGGACCGGCCGGAAGAGGACTCGCAGGACGACGGTAAGTCGCTCGCCGCGGCTTTCCAAGCTGGCAGCGCTGAGCCGCTGCCGCTCACCCCCTTCTTCCTCTTGCCTCGTCTTGTTTCTGGTTTTTTCCCCCAAGCATCCCTTCTGGAGAACTGCTGTGTAGGGCACAGCCAGGGGGTAGTAATGGACAGGTGTCCTGCACCTTCCCCCGTGATTTGGGGGAGTTGCTCGTGTCGGTGAACAAAGCATCCCTCTGGTCACCATCCTTTGCCGCCACAGGGTTGGACGCCAGTGGAGGCTGAGTCCTGGCGGTTTAGCCGAAGTAGAGGAGAGGTCGGTGCCGCAGCACTCGCGTCTGCATTTCTGGTTCCCAGATTAAATAGGCATCGGTGAGGACAACAGCAGAGACGCAGTGATAGCGACAGAAATGTCTTAAACTTTGCAGAGGAAAAAAAAAAAAAAAAAACAAGACTTGAGCCCAGGCCATTGGTTATTTAGTATTTCTTCAATTCCTCCTATGCAGCCAGAACTCTGGGAATGTAAAAGAAAGCACCTGGATGCTTAACTCTGTTAAGGAGAGAAAAACCAGACTGTCTCAGCCAAACTTAACGTATGTGGGCATCTTTTTTATTATTTTTATGCCTCAAGTGCTATAGCATTCGGGTTTGGGGAAAGGGTAGTGACTTCATTAAGGAAAACGGCAGCCCATTTGCTTGCTTACCGTAGAATTCATGTGGATCTCTAGTGAAGTCAGCTGAATGCCCTGCGGGCAGGCAGGTCTGGAAATGGGGAGCTTCATGAACTACTCCTTGTGCAGGTGACAGCAGTCTGCTCTGGCTTAGGCATGTGGCCCATCAGTCTCAGTTGCCCTTTGTCATCTCAGCAAGGTGGTATAGCTCTTTCCTTCTTTCTCACAGAGGAAAGAATAACACAGTTCAATCGTGGCATTAGAAGACATGTAGGTAACACAGCAACCCTGTGAAAAAGAGGGCAAATACATCTAGTTGAGAACTGTCCTAGAGTTTCCTATTGTAGATTCTCATTAGCAAATGTATTTTAAAATCTGAATAATTACAGAGCCTCCCGCAAAGCGTGGCTACGAATGCTGGCATCCATTTCCCTTCGTGTCACTAAACGTCTTTTTCTTCTTCTGTGTCAGAAATAGAGATGTTGGTTGATGACCCCAGGGACCTGGAACAGATGAATGAAGAGTCTCTGGAAGTCAGCCCAGACATGTGCATCTACATCACCGAGGACATGCTCATGTCACGGAAGCTGAATGGACACTCTGGTGAGCTCTTGTGGGAAGTTCTCCTGAACTAGCGGATGGTCTTGGACTGAGGAGCAGGTGCCTCAGAAAACAGAAGGGTCAGGGTGGGGCTCTCGATCAGAAACAGGGCTGGAATCAGAACCTTTCCAAGTCAGTGCCATAGACTGCAGGGTCGAGTACCTCGTGAGGAAGAAAGAGAACAGAAGGGGAGAAGCATCTAGGATGGGGAATTAGCATCCTCTCCCCTGTGCTCAGCACAAAGTGGTAAAACACAGTTTTCTCTTTGTTGCTGTTGTTTTGTTTTGCTATTACAAATGATAATCAGAGAATCCTAGAATACATCTAGAAGGGACCTCGGAGACCTCCTTTTTACAGATAGAAAACCCATAGATGAGGGGGACAGACGCTTATGTGGCTAGAAACGGAAGTCAGGTCTCCGAGTTTGGTTTGTATTGCTTTTCCCCAACTAGATCAGAGTGGATATGGGAGTATGGAGGAAAAAGTGTCAAAAAATGTTGGTGTAAAAAGGCATTCCTATTATATTCTGTATTTGATTAACTCTACTAGGACACTTGCATTCACTGTAAACCTATTATGGGATTATATAATACGATATATAATAATCTATTTCTATCAAATAAAAGATATTACCCTTCAATATTACTGCCAAAAACCACAGTATGGGTTTTGTTTTCAATTTTTTTTTAATGTTTATTTATTTTTGAGAGAGAGAGAGAAACAGAGCTCTAGAGGGGAAGGGCCGGAGAGAGAAGGAGACACAGAATCCAAAGCAAGCTCCAAGCTCCGAGCTGTCAGCACAGAGCCCGACGCAGGGCTCGAACTCCCGAACCACGAGATCATGACCTGAGCCAAAGTCAGACGCTTAACCGACTGAGCCACCTAGGCGCCCCAGGTTTTGTTTTTAAACCTCAGTCACTCCTAACTGCTCTCGCCACATTTTATGAATTGGTCTCCGTTCTGTCTAAAAAACATACCTTAGGAATGAAGTCGAAATGGCCCAGGTACTTACTAGTCAGCCGCTTTGAGCTTTGAGTGAAAGACCCTGTTTACAACTGGGGTGACCTGCCATTGCTGTGTCAGGACCCACGGTCCCTGATAAGTGACCCTCACCCATGCAACAGGTGCTGGGAATGAGAGAGAAACAAGACCACAGTACACATGGTCCCCTCATCCTGGCATTGAATCTGTAAGAGCACAAGGCTCCTTTTATTGGAGAATTTCCTCTGCTCACCTAGCAGAAGCATGGCCTCCAGATGCTCTGCGGGGAATAGACCTGCCAGTGGTTACAGAGAACCGCTCTGCCTAAGCAAACGCAGATTCGTCAGGCTGCTTGCTCTGGTCATGCTTCAGGCTTAGAGTTCTCAAACCAAACTTTACCCCCGTTTCTTTGCCCATTTACTTTCTCACATAGATGTCTTCCCTCACAAATACATTTTAACACATGTATTAAATATAAATTTACAATTTTATGCACATTATATGTACATGGATATCATGCTCTCACTCGATATGTGCATGTGTATTCTTGTGGAAAGAAAACTGTCCAAACCATATACACCAAAGTGTCCATGGGAGGAGGGGAGATGAGGGAAACAGACTTTGGCTTTTTATTTATATATTTCTATGTTTAATTTTTATGATAAGATTTTGTAATTTTAAATAGAAATAAAATTTAAATAAATAGGGTGGCTGTTTAAAGAGGTTTCTATACAAAAAAAAAATGCTTTTTGAAATGTTATTTATTGAAAAAGAACCTGAATGGTTAACAATGAGCAGTTATATGCTGTCCATAGAGTGAAATATCGTACAGCCATTAACTAATGACACTTTTAAAGAATATTTAATAATATAAGAAAGATAGGTAAGAAAAACAGCACAAATTGTATAATCAGGATGATCTCAAATTACAAAAATGTATATATGTATATGAAAAAATACATAAAAATATTAATAGCCTTTCTCTGGATGATGGGGTGATGATCTTATTTTCTTCCTCGCATCATCCTTCTCTTCCAAATTCTCTACAATTTGAGCATTTACTTTTTTTTTTTAACATTTATTTATTTTTGAGAGAGAGAGAGAGAGAGAGACAGACAGTGTGAGCAGGGGAGGGGCAGAGAGAGAGGGAGACACAGAATCCGAAGCAGGCTCCAGGCTTTGGGCTGTCAGCACAGAGCCCAATGCGGGGCTCGAATTCAAACCATGAGATCATGAACTGAGCTGAAATTGGATGCTTAACTGACTGAGCCACCCAGGTGCCCCTACAGTTTGAGCATTTAAACATTATTTCTCAAGCATGGAGCTGAGATTGAATAGGGATGGAAGTTTGGTACAAGTCAAGTTAGTGTTCTCAGCACCAGACTTGCTGCTGACTTGTCTAATGCGGAGTTTGGGTTTGGGAGCACATAATTTACAGACATGGTGGCCAAGGACACATATACCAGGAAGTCCAGAAGGACCCATGCCAAGTGCCAACCAAGGACACCAGTCCACGTCATCCTCTGAGGATTTGTTAAAAGTTTAAAGCTTTTTAAAAGATAAAGATATTCTCAAGAAAGACCCCCTACTAAAGCAGTCTGTACCAACCCCCAAAACATAAGTACCCACCTGAAGGCTTTTAAACTGTCTACATGTAAACCAACAATGTCCTCCTTCCATGTTTCAATTGAACAAAATATCAAACACTTAATATATACAAGGTATAGACTCGTCACTGAATCGTTAGACGTCATTTAGTCTAAAGAGTTAAGGGATAAAACACAAAAGGCCATTTCTGAGGTTATCAGCAAGTAGCTAAATAAAAATCACATTGCACTCCAGGTTCCTTTTTTATAAGGTGAGAATGTGCTTTATCTGAGAAGCCATTTGGCCTTAAGAATCTGGGGTTTGACTGACCTGCTTCATCTATTTGCAAGAAAAATGTCAGTGATCTCCACTTCCATATCCAATTCTTGTTAGCAGTTTTATCTTACAAAACATTTTTTCCTGGTGCTTCACTCAACATGCTAGAGCCACAGAGGGAAGTTTCAGCCCTGGATTTCTGTTTCCAAAATATTAGGAGGTGACTCCTGGGCACTAGGGTGATTTAGGGCCCTGTCACTCTCAGAGATCTAGAACTGAATGCTTAGGGTGGCCTCCCACTCGTGGCCTCTCCCCAGCAGGATTTGTTGTAGGAGGCAAGTGCCACAGGGCCCCTGTCAGCCCGAGGAGCTCTGAGCTGGGTGTGTCCCGTGTGCAGGCCCTGTACCTCGCCCTTTCCATGCATTTACTCGTCAGTCGTCATTAAACTCTGTTGGATAGACACTGCTGTCAGGCCCACTTTATAAGATGAGACCGAAACATAGGGGGGCTAAGTCACTGGCCAGCATACACAGTTAATTACTTTTCTGGGCCTGCTTCCGGCTCAGATCCGTGTGACTCTGGAGGTCAAGCCCCACACTACACTTTAACCGTCCATCTAAAGGGACCCAAACCTAGACGGCCGTGTCACAGTTTAGCTTTAGGAGGGAGACTGCTTTACATCTACGGTCTTTGTTTTTGTTACTAATTTCATCATAAATAGCTTAATTAGAAGTTGTAGTTCACCTTAGAAAAGGCAGACTCTAAACTCCTTCCTGTACGCTGATCCCACATTTATCCCTCTCCCCCCTATTTACTGTGAGACAGGAGATGGGATGTGTCCTAGGCTGGTTGTCTACCACGGATGAGTCACAGTGAGATTTTTCAGGAACGGTTAATACTTGACCTTTCAGTCTTGGTGGTAGCATGTGTCAGATAGGTGGCAAAAAGTATGAATAAGGAAGTCTTCATTGTTGTTGTTTTTCTGTGTTTTACTTCAGGGTTGATTGTGAAAGAAATTGGTTCTTCCACCTCTAGCTCCTCAGAAACAGTTGTGAAGCTTCGTGGCCAGAGTACGGACTCTCTTCCACAGGTACAGAAGGAATCGAAATGTTTAAGTTGTGCACTGAAGTTACAGAAAATGTTAAATTGGAACTTAACATTTATATTTATATAAATGAGCAAAAATTAAGAACCATAAGGCAGTGATTCTTCTTAGGTACATTCTAGCTTTATCCTCAGTTGATAACCATTGTGTTTGCTAGTTCCATTCATCTCTGAGTTGATTTTCATTTGGATAAATTATATATTTTGTTTCCCACTTTGTAGAGGTGGGAAGTGTGTAACTTCAGACTTCAGGTTGTGTGTGTGAACCTCAACAACTGAGAGAATAATTTTCTTGTCAGGCGTGTTATGGCAGAAACGTTTCCACGCTGATTATTCCATTCAGATTGCGTTTTCAGAGTATGCTGAGTGAGACTGTTTGATAACCTGTGATCACTTGCTAGACTATTAAAATATCAAAAGATAAAATACTCTGAAATTCATGGTTGTAGCGTCTGGATCTATTGCACAGCTGATATACTCACCTCTATTTCCTGTGTATTCTCTTTCTCTCTCCTTTATGACTCTCTTTCTTGGTCCATCTCTGTCTTTTTTGGGTTTTGTGTCTTTTTTGCTTTCTGTGTGTGCTTCTCTCTTCCCTGTTTTCTTTTTCATTTCTATGTGCACATGATGTTTTATGACATATTTTTTTTGAATACTCCAGTGAATAATTTCTAAAGCAGTATGTGTAGCATGATGATTACAAATCCCAGGGTCCACTGCCCAGGTTTGCACCCGGTTCTGTCACCCGGTGTTAGATCTTCCTGTACGTAAGTGCTTGTGGTGCACAGCTGAGGATCAGATTCCACGCCTGCAAAATGGGAAGCGTGTTTGCGTGCCTGCTGTGTGGATTCGTGAGGATGACCTAATGAATTCCGTGTGGGAAAGCCCGTTGGCACCTGGGAAGCCGTGTGGGTCCAGGGGACCTTCTTCAGGGAGTGCTCGGATGTGATACTTCCAAATAAAATGGTTTTGGGTTCAGACCCTGTTCTCTCTTCCTGGTGCTTTTGCCTTTAGCAAAAAGTGATCTCTTATTCTAACGAGGTTGGCTTTTATGGTGTTCAGCAGCGAAAGCTGAGAGGTACAGTGCCCTGTTTCCTTAAATAACCCATTAAGCATCTTTCGTTCATGTAATTATCTGAGCCATTTTTTAACCTATTTATGTTTTCAGCCAGTACCACTTCTGGGGATAATGAGTTCTGTAAGTCTGTTGCCCGCTGTGTGGAGTATTTGGCACAGCACCTCCTACAGTGTTTGGGAGCTGCCTCTTGCCTCCCAACCTTTCCGTACTTTGTATTATTTTTCTATCCAAGAACTCTAGCTTTGAAAAAACCAAAAAAAAACCCCAAAAAAACCGTTCTTCAAATTGTATTCCTTGAGTAATTGGCTCATTTCCGCATTTCTTATGAAAATAATAATAGAGCTCAGCATGAAAGTATTACTGTATAGAATATGTTGATTGTCATATTCTAGTAGAAAGAAAAAAGAGAAGAAACTATATCTGTACGTATCTAGCCTCCTTTTAAGACATTTTCTTGACTTCTGAGATGCTAGAGACAGGCTTCTGTTGCATTTACTTCCTTTGCCTTGGATTATTCATCTGTAAAATGGGGAGAATAATAGCACTGGGCTCATAGGGCAGATGGGAAGAGTGAACAAGTAAATACATAATATCGTGTTTAGGTGAGAGCCTTGCACATAATCAGAGCTCAGTAAATGTTAGCCACTCTGACTGTTGGTAGTGGTGCTGTTTTCCCCGCAGGACCTCAGACCGGAAATCACTTTGTAACATATAAGGATTCCATAACCTTCTATGATTTTGCAGTGTCGCTCTTTACAAGGGCAAAATAGCGCTGACCTGTCACTTTAGTATCCTCTTGACGTGGTTTTAACCTTACTTTATTTTGCAGACCATATGTCGAAAACCAAAGACCTCCACCGATCGACACAGCTTGAGCCTTGATGACATCAGGCTTTACCAGAAAGACTTCCTGCGCATTGCAGGTCTATGTCAAGACACTGCTCAGAGCTACACTTTCGGGTGTGGCCACGAACTGGATGAGGAAGGCCTCTACTGCAACAGCTGCTTGGCTCAGCAGTGTGTCAACATCCAAGATGCTTTTCCAGTCAAAAGAACCAGCAAGTACTTTTCTCTGGATCTCACTCATGACGAAGTTCCAGAGTTTGTTGTATAAAGTACGTCTGCGTGTAGCTAGCCACACAGGCAGCCTGCTGTCTGCTGGAGGCCAGAGAAGCCACGGGTTCTCTCTTTAAGTATCGTGCCATATTTTCTTCACCTGACCACCACATAGCTCTTTCTTTATGATATTTGCAATGGAAATAAAAGCCTTGGGACAATTGCACTTTAAGTATTACACAGAGAGAAAAGAACTGCAGAGAAGGTACAGCAAGACAAGTGCCCGGAAGTTTGTGACCCTTTGGAAGGAAACGTGCTTTACTGGTTACCAAGCCTTCAGAATATTGAATTGTGGTGTGTTTGTCCCTCGTTTTGTTTTTCATTTTGATCATACGACATCACATTTTTTATCATGTGAAAGATGTTATTAGATTGATTTGTTTGCTTGTAAATGTGTGTGTGTGTGTGTGTGTGTGTGTGTGTGTGACTCCCTCATGCACGTGGTTTGAGGGAGGAGAGAAAGGAGAGTCTCTCCTTTTAAGGGAGAAACCATTGCCTGGTACATAGCCATTGCCGCCTCGCTGGGGCTGTCCCAAAGTGAACACTAATGAAGTGGTCAAAATCTTGTAGTTCTAGCAAGCCAAAGATATGTACATAACAGAAATGCAGCCCGGGGCCAAGAAGACATGAATGAAGCAATAACCAGAAGGCTATGTGTGCTGTGATGCCTTGTGACTCCTTCATGCCTGGTCAGTGCCCTGTCCTCCTCCTGCTCTTCGCGAAAGCTCTGGGACCCAGCTAGTTTCTCGTCCGAGTAACTCGTTGTGTTCACATCTTCATGCGTTTTGTAGAGTTTGTAAAACCAGTTTCTGTTAAAACTATGGAAACGTCTTAGAAAATGTTTGTGCTTGGTGTTTTGTTTTGTTTTGTTTTTAAATCAACAACAAATTGTAGTAATGCTTGTTTCTGCTTAAGCAAAACACCCTAACTATACATATATGTTATACATATATAAATACCTGAGATTGTATGTGTTTATATGTGTTTACAGTTTACTAACGCTTCATTTTGGCTTCCATGACTGTTTTGTGTACATAGTCATTCTTGTTTAATATGGAGGAGGTGTCACTGAATGAATGATACCTACAGACAATCAGTTAATATATGCAGAGTTAAGAACAACTGTTTTCCCATGTGTCTTTTGCTATGATTCTCAACCCTGGTTGCACACTAGAATTATTTGGGGAGCTTTAAAAACAATAACACTGTCTGGATCCCACTTCAGACCAATAAAATCAGTCTGTTGCAGTGAGGTCCAGGTGGAATTGCCTTTTCCTTTAAAGCTCTCCAGATGGAGCTAATATGCTACAGGGTTTAAAACCACTGCTCCAGAGGGTGTCTTTTTCTTAATTTTGAAGTTAAGGTATACAGAAAATGTCAGTGTTTGAGAAAGGACCAGTTTTAACAGTTACTGCCACTGCTATTAGGATATATAATGAAACCTCATCAGGAGAGTGAATTGATCAACCTTTAGGTGTACAGAAACAATGTTGTTCACACTTCAGGAGAGAACTTTAGCACAATGTCTTTCTATGAGATGTTTGTAATGATTTCGTATTTAACGACATTTGTTTACCATATTTTGATACACCATTTTTTCTATCTGCCAGGTTTTCTTAAAAAAAAAAAAAACTATATATTATTTTCTAGAGAAACAGTCATATTTTTATACAAAATTAAGTTTTCAGGTAACAAAGAAATCGATTTAGGGTACAGCAGAACATGCAGTGTTCCCCAGGGGCGGGAGTCAGTATTATGAACATAAGGGGAGTGTGGACAAGCCTCACCTGTGCTGTGCTCGGACGCCTGTGTGCGGATGGGGCAGGCCAGTGTGGACACTGCAATCCCAATCGAATCAGTTCAACCCGACACTTGGAAAAAGGAACAGAAGTTCTATAGAGTTTTGTAGTCATGCGATTATTTTGTTTTTATCAAAAGTTTTAAAAGAACCAAAGTTTTCAGATACCAGAATGTACAAGTGTCTCAGTCTTCTGTATGAAAGGGTAGAAGGATCATCTAATGACAGCTTCACTTATAAGTAAGTCGTTAAATAGTCCACCATTTCTTATAGATGCTTAAGGGACAAATCCTAGGAAGTTTAACTCTCAAGAGCCCAGATCATAATGTGGTGCGTTTCCCTAGCTCTTAGCGTTTCTTGCAACATCGAGGCAAAAGCATATTTAATTCAGTATGTAGCGCTTTAGTTTCTCTGTGCTTCAGCCAGAATCAGGTCTTCAGGGTTCTGCCAGCATTATTGGTGGTTTTGCACACCCTCTTTCTAATTGGGTTTATGCATAGTCTTGTGGGTTTTCAAAAATGAAACATGCTAAGGAACATTTTTGCTTTTTGATCCTCTATTTGTGGCAGAATTATATATATGTATATGAAAATCCATTTTGGTTATCTACGTTTTGTATTTGGAAATTGTTTTAAAAAATAAAAAAGGAAAAGAAACGTATGAAGCTGTTATTTATTCTGCATTTGTTAATATCATCGCTAGTTGGTATACCAGTTGGTATATACTGCCTCGATACAGCGACATTTGTATTTGCAACAATGAGCTTTATATCTACATAAACTGTAAATAATCCTTTCTGTGAAAGGATCATCATATCAGGAAGATACCAAAAGTGTGTAAAAGAAAACTGCATTATTTTGTAATGATTTCTTATAGGCATTTCATGGTAAGATTAGCAGTCAATAAAGTTACTTTTTATTTGTCTTTAAAGTGCCGTTTTTTTTTTTTTTTAAGAGTTCTCAATTAAGCAAGAAGCATTAAAGAGTGAATGTTTTCTTTATGTTCTTCTTTCTTATAATAGGCCATGTTGAGGAACATGTAAGGGTCTGCGGTGGTAGGATTCTGAGCCCGGAGCCCCCCGTGGCGAAGCTGGTGGGGACTGAGCTGCCCCTGCTCCTGCTCTGCGTGTGTGAGGAGTTCACATATTAACTCCTTCATCCTCGTGTTTGCATACGGCGGGGTCTGTTCTCATTCTCGACCTAGAGACGAAGGAACCGAAGCTCAGAGAGGCAGTGGCAGCCAGCCGCTGTGCAGGCCTGAGCTGTGGGGCTAAAAGCACTCGATAAGATACAATTTTTTATTTTTTTAAATTAAAATGACTACTTTAACTTTTCCCTCAAAATAATCATCATTGGCGTGTTTTAATTTTAAAAAAGTAAGTGGTTACATTTAAAAGCATGCGTATCGCAAGGCTGGGCGTGAGAGCAAAGCGGCATCAGGGGGAGAGGCCGGAGCTGGCGGTCAGTAGACGGGCGTCGAAAGCACCGAAAAGCCTGGCTGTCCTTGTGAAAGAACGTCCATTATCTTCTCGTTACTCCAGTTTTCTTGGCTCTCGTGGGATTAATAATTCCAAGGACTATTTGGGGGATTAATAACGTAATAGTTATAACATGCCCCTGATCACTAAGGTGGGAGAAAGGAGGGTGGGTGTTTTCCGATCTTCTAACAAGCCTTTAACTTGTGTAGAATTGAGCCATGTGGCCATTCGGAAGCCTACAGTCCAAAACAAAAGCTTTCTGCTGAGGGGTAAACTCATGAATTTTGCAGTGTATCTGGTAAATTGTGAGTAAATTGGAGTCAAGGAAAAGAACATTTCTGGTCACCTGCTCTGTATCTGCCATTACACACGTCAAGTCTAACCTTCACAGCCCTTCAAGTAGTCAACTCATGTTACAGCTGAGGAAATGGTTAAACTTCCCCAAGATCCTACAGTTCATAAACAGAGAGCAGAGTTTTAAGCCCAAATCCATGTCCAAAAGCTTTGCTTTTTCTACTACACATACCACGTTATCCATTACACTCAGAGAAAGCTCAGAATCTGATAGGGAAGACAGACTTACAATTTGGATAATGTGATAAATGACATTTATTTGCACACTGTTTTTAAAATTGTTTTTAATGCTTCATTTATTTTTGAGAGAGTACAAGCAGGGGAGGGCAGAGAGAGAGAGAGAGAGAGAGACACAGAATCCGAAGCAGGCTCCAGCCTCTGAGCTGTCCACGCAGAGCCCGACGTGGTGCTTGAACTCATGAACCACAAGACCTGAGCTGAAGTCCGATGCTTCACCGACTAAGCCACCCAGGCGTCCCTGCACACTTCTAAAAAGAAAAAAAAAATTATTTTGAGACAGTGCATGAGCAGCGGAGAGGCAGAGAGAGAGAGAAAGAATTCCAAGCAGGCCCCATGCAGTCAGCACAGAGCTCTGATGTGAGGCTTCAACTCAACCATCCACCAGAGCCGAGATCAGATGCTTAACCGACTGACCACCCAAGCACCCCTGCCCACCTTTTTATTTATTTATTTTTTTAATTTTTATTTTTTCCAACGTTTATTTATTTTTGGGACAGAGAAAGACAGAG